CCTTGGATCCAACATTAATTACCCTCGACATCTTGTCATCCTGCGTATCCCGAACCCATTCTCCACCCCAATTCTCCAAGCCAATCCAAAGTCAAATCAGTTTTTTCGTACAGATTCATAGTATTTGCGGTTCACGGATCCTCCTGGTAAAGGGTCCTTGACCCCCAAGCTGTCACTGATCAGTCCCCATGGTGCACAAACAACAGCAAACTTAACGCCCTTACAAGACAGAAGGTTAATGTGAAGAGTACACGCGAACCACCCACGTTGCAGAGTCAATTATTTGACCAAAGACGTAATGAAACTCGCCTCTACAAACATCAAAATGAAACAGCAACCATACAAGCCGCCATCGGGGTCCGTGTGAGCCAACATTAAAACACCCCCAGCTGCCCCAGTACTTATTTGAAAATGAAAAAAAGGATGGCCTTGTTCTCGGAAAATTGGCCTTGTTTCCTCCCACACTCGCTTTATACCAAAACAAACCGTAGGCAACATTTTTTGTTGCTTTGATGCGATATCTGAAATGAAAATAAGATAATCGAAATTAAGGTTACGTGCAAGAAAAACGCAGTAATATTTTCAAAGCCAGGATCCTGAAAGCAGCCAATGCAGAGAATAAAATAAACCCCACAAAATCGTTGAATGTAAGTTTTTGTTACTGAAGTGTAATATACTTGCTTAAGTCATTTAAGCCCTGAAGATGACTCAAGGACTACCCACACGCCCCAAAAGACAAAAGGTAATAGTATTTAAAAAAACAAGTCAGTGTTCTACCATTAGAACTTAACATATTACATCTTGCAATACGACTCATTTCATGTTGTGTTCCGAGTACAACAAAATATTGAAGACGTTGAATCATTTACATGATATCCATTCGTAGAGATCCACAACTTGTAGAGAGCTGATGTTCCGCATATTAAAGCAACCAATGGAGGGCCATCTCCTCCAAAGAGTGAACGGCCGATCACTCTATAATGAATTCATCGCCGGGTGTTGTCTCTTGTAACTCCCCTGTTTTCAATTCCAGCAGCGATGGCAAACCCCCAAACCCCTGCGGGGACACTCCCAACCAGCCCAGTCTTAGAATATGGAACTTGCTATTTGAAGTGTGTTAACTGACAAGGAGCATGTTGCGGAATTCGTGGACCTCGCTGACGCTCTCCTGAGTCATAAAACACGCGGCCGCTCGATGCAGGGTACCCCTCTTGTTGGGGGGTCAGGAATGCGGGCCAAGTGTGTTTAAAAACCTAAGCCCTAACACCGGCCTTTCATTGGTCAGGATTCCCCCTTCTCTGGGGGAAAAAACTGTTCATCAGGGCTATCTTAGCAAAGAGATCGCTCTCTTCTCTCTCTCTTCTCATTGCCTTCGGCTCAACCTAGCCGTCACCACACCCGCCCGCCGAGGTGATAAGTTCGCTGGACTCGGTGGCGGACTGGATCCACCGACAACCCGAGGAACCGAGGATCATTAGCACGCACAAAGCGCTTTGTGCCTGCGATTACCTGCCCAGGCGGACAGTCGCAAGCAGATGACAGTTTGGGACTTGTCAACTATTTTGTTCCCAGCCGCGTGGTCCAGGATGCGGCAGCTAACCACGCGGTACCCCACAGACTCTTTGTTGAATCTTCCTTTGGACGTTCGGCTAACGGTACTGGGCATAGCGACGAACTTCAACAGGCACTGTTAACGGCTAAAAAGGTACTGTTTCTTATTGTTTAATGGTTGCTGATGTGGTTTTATTCAGCTTACTGTGGCTATTGTGATGTGATCTGATAACTTGAGGTTTCATTGTAGTATAACCTGTGCTGTTTGAGGACAGGGCTAAGGTAGATGTGTGTTTTAACTAGGTATCCTTGGATCCCAACATTAATTACCTCGACAGTTCTTGCATCCTGCGTATCCCGAACCATTCTCTCACCCCATTCTTCCAAGCCAATCCAAGTTCAATCAGTGTTTTTCGGTACAGATCAGTGTATTTGCGGTGTCAGGGATTCCTCCTGGTGAAAGGTCTTGACCCCATGTCACTGATCAGTCATGTGGTGCACAAACAACAGCAACTTAACGATTACAAGACAGAAGGTTGTATAGTGTGAAGAGTACAGCGACCTGACCACTTTGAGAGTCATGTATTTTGACCAAGACGTAATGAAACTCTTCTCTAAAATAAAAAGAAAAGCAAGCATACAAGCGACCATGTGTGAGGCACATAACCACCCAGCTGCCCAGTAATAGTGTTGTGAAAATGGAATAAAAAGGATGGCATTGTTCTGGAAAATTGGCTTGTTTCCTCAGCACATCTCTTTATACAATACAAATACAACATTTTTTTGTGTGTTTGATGCTGATATCTGGAAATGAAAATAAGATAATCGAAATTAAGTTTACGTGAAGAAAACGGCAGTAATTTTTCAAAGTCAGGATCTGAAAGCAGCTCACAGAGAGATTAAAATAAACCCCAAAATCGTTTGGAATTAGAGTTTTTGTTACTTGAAGTTGTATAACTTTGGTTAAGTCTTTAAAGCCTGAAGATGACTCAAAGGACTACCAGGCCAAAAGACAAAAGGTATATATTTTAAAAAAAACAAGTGCAGTGTTTCTACATTGACATTAACATTACATTCAATAGACTCATTTCATTTGTGTTTCCAGTACAACAATATGTTGAAGAGTTGGATCATTTAAGAATCCATTCAGAGAGATCACAAGTTGTAGAGATGATGTTCGCATTAAGACTCAATGTGAGGCATCTCTCAAAGCAGTGAACGGCCGATCACTTATATGACTTCATCCCTGTGTTGTTCTCTGTTAACTCCTGTTTCAATTCAGCAGGGAGGGCAAACCCAGACCCTGACTCTCCAACCAGCCCAGCCACCCCAGGGTCAGCCCGACGGCCAAAACCAGACAACTGTAGTGGCGCAGAGTGGCCAGCAGGGGCAGCAGCAACAACAGCAGTTCCTACAGGTAACAGTAGAGGGCAGCAAACATAATTTATATAAACAGACATCCTCATCCTGCTGTGAGTAATTATGAGATTTTACTGTGAATAAATAGTGGTAACTGTTTCATATTCTAATATTATTCTTTTTCTATCAGGGCACTCGTCTTCTCCACAGTAACCAGTCTACCCAGCTGATTCTGCAGGCAGCTTTCCCTCTCCAGCAACAGGGCACCTTCACCCAGGCAACGCACCAACAGCAACCACAGCAACAACAACAACAACAACAGCAGCAGCAGCAGCAGCAGCAACAACAGCAACAGCAACAACAACAACAGCAGCAACAACAATCTCACCACCAGAGGCACCAGCAGCAGCTGAAACCACAGCCCCAGAAACAGCAGAAAGCCCCGTCATCGCACAGGACTGACAGTGTCAGCAGCCAACCTCAATAAAGTCCGGAGGAAAACGTGTTAAGTCAGAAAACCTGGGGACCTGAAACTCGTAAGAGATTGCTGCACACATTTGCTTTGGTCGTGTGGCCAACAAACAAACTTCATTTTCCGCGAAACTGTTGCCCTCCCTTCTTCCATCTGAAAGAAATAAATCATAGGAAAGAGGAAAGCCTGTGAGTCTGCAAGGGAACTCACCAAGGGCCGTTGCCATGGCAACAGGATGGATTATAATCCCCTTTTCCCTCGTCGGAGGCGGAATGGTGAGGGAGCTCTAGTCTCCGTGGAAACCCAACAGAAATCCAGAGAACACCTTATTGCCATGGTAATGACTTTTTTTTGGAAGGTGTGTCACAGTGGACTGACCTTGTACAAATTTACTGTATGATAAAAAAAAAACTTGTAAATATCCTATATAGCCTAACAGGAAACAGAAATGTAGTATTTTATATGATTGCATGGAAAGAATAACTGTAAGCTTTTATTAGTCGCTTTTGAAAAATGACTTTTTACTTTGTTCAAGTGTTTTCTGGTCAAAGACGGAGCAGTGACGTGCTCTTCTCCCACTCAGAACCCCTTCTCTCCCTCCCCTTCTCTTAAAAAAAAAAACAAAAGTCCAGAATAAGGCTTTAAAGTTATGTCAGTTTGTTTTTAAAAAAATGGTTGGGCTTGGGTTTTTTTTTTGTGGAAGTTGTGTTTTTAAACACTGTCTCTGAGACAAAAATGGCTGTTTTTAACTTTGTAAGTACACATTATGTTTGGCAAGAAACTAGATTACAGTTTAACTGAATTATTCGCAGGATGATCACTGTACATCTAACGGGTTTAGTGATTCCAAGTGCCAATAACATAGTCAATTATGTTGTTTTTATTTCGAGCAGACTATTCAAAGGCGTATATATATTTTCCAACAAGATATTACCCCTAATAAAGTTAATGCGTGTGTATATAGTAGGGATTATTTTTTAACAGTCAGAGAGCCCTATACGTAACAAACAGTATATCCTCAACCTCCTGAAACTTTAGCACTTGATGTGGTTGTGTACAGTAAATCACTGTCAAGACCTAGTCGTTTGTAATCTGTGGTGTGATTCTGTGAGATAGAGTGTGTGTGTGTGTGTGTGTGTGTGTGTGTGTTTGGGAATACAATCTTTGTGTGCATGAGTGGGCATGAAGAGTGTCTGTGTTTGGTGTGTGTATGTGTGTGTGTGCTTGTTGCCCCTTGTGTCTTACAATAATTGACTTAGTAAGGGTGAAGTTGAAGTTGCTGGATGGTACTTGTATTCTCAGGAATGTGGAAAGTATTTTGCTTCTGCCTCAGTCTGGATCCAGACCAGGAAGGATTAGACAGTGATGCTGCAAAGACCAGAGCAACAAGTGTCATGAAGGGTGTGGTGACTGACCTTATTAATACAGTGTGACGGGAGAAGTCTACAAAGAGAGTAAACGTGTGCTGTTCTTTTGTAAAGGGGAGGGCGGTTGTTGAGCTACGACGGAGTAGACTTCATTATACCAGCGAACCTTCATTTCTACTAACGGTCTCATGGTCTTCGGTCTCATCAGTGTTTCATCCTTCTTTCTCTTCCTAGGCCTCAGAAACCCTCATGCAGTTCAGTTCACTCATCTCTCAGTTCTCAAACAGCAGTTAAAACCAGGGCTGTGCCCGAGGCCATTTCAGTTACAGGTGGAAATGGGCTCAGCCCCTGTACTACAGTTGTAAGCCATATCAAACAGAAAAGCCTTGGAGTGGGGGAAGTGTAGTGGTTGGCAAAGGAGCATTTAGAATGTGTTGTTTTGTCTCTGAGTGTAGTAAAGACTGTGTGTGTATGTGTGTGTGTGTGTGTGTGATTTTAGCGTCTCCTCATCTTGATACTTCTTGTATCACTCGGGGGTCAGTATTGGTTTCCCCTGGCGATAGCCAATCAGTTCTTGCGTTGCAGTATAAAGAAATAATTGTAATATTCAAGAAACTTCCTCTCCAGTTGGGCTCAGTATTCTGCAAAGCCCGTGTGTGGGACAGCTCAACTTGAATACATGTTTGTGTGTGAGTGAGAGTTCGTGTGTGTGTTAACCGTCACTGTAACCCATTATATTTTCATATGGAAACAGATGTGTGACTGAAAAAGAATGGATGTTAGGCAATGCAGAGCATTGGTCATGTGTCCGGCTATAAAGAATATGGGCAGTGTTATTGTTTTACAGTGACCGACTGCTCAATAAACACTTATCACGGCAACTACACATCAGGCCAGTCCCAAATGGTAACCCTCTGAGATAAGGTTTTAATTTAGATTGGGAAATTTGTGCAACAAATCCTCTTCTTGTTCCTTGTCCACAGATAAGGAATAGAAGAGAAGATTTACAGTGAGGGTGTTACTATTTGAACCAGGTCCTCTAACCCATCACATAGCAAATATAGATCCTCTATAGACTAGTTTGTGTTTAAGGCATCACTCTAAAGGGTAATGTTGAAATGTTTATAGTTTGTGTCACTGATACCCAGCCCAAAGAATGTAAAGGTGTTTTAAAGAGACTAATGGATGTTTGGATGTTGTAACTGTTGATTATGGAGAACCTTTTGACAGGCTTTGTGATGAAGGAAAACGTGGGGTGTGAACGAAAATCATGTCTCTCACTGCAAGGATCCACATACAGAATCTGAAATACAATCTCATTTACAGGCTTTTGCATTGTTAAAAGAACCTCTGAATGTTTCACCATGACAAACTTTTCAGATTCATCAACAACAACATCTGGCTGGGAAAAAAAAAAGAAGAGTTTTAAAAGCTGTTGAAAGGTTTAGGTGTAGGATATTTGAAATGGGATAGCCCCCGGCCCCCTCCACAGATACACAGATCACCTTTCCACTACACAATTTGGTTCTGAAGAGTCCTAGTTCTAGTATAATACTGTACACAAACACAAAGCTAAGAACACCAGTATTCAGTGTAAAACGGTGCTATGCTTACCTGTACTGTATGTATGTATATCCCTTCTTCTGCTCTTGAACTGTGCTCCTTTATCTACCCCAAAGTCAAATGTAATAATCAATATTTTGAAGCAAAATGTTTGCTCTTATTATAACCCCGCCCCCTCTCCCCTCTTGGTCAATTTGAAAAATAAAAACAGTTGCAAATATTATATGTGACACATGTCTGCTGCAATTTTGTTCTGTTTTGGTCTGTTATTAACAACACTAGTCTTTTATTAGCCCGTCTGGCAGTCAGATGGATTGTAATGAAATTTTATACAGACATTCAGTCCCCATAAGGATGACTCCTACTGACTTTGGTGAGCCCTGGTGTTTTCCTTCATAGCCACTTTTTTTAGTAATGTCCAGACAGCTATTGGATGGATTGTGATTAAATGTTGTACAGATATTCGTGGTCTCCAGAAAAAGAATTGCAATGATTTTGTTGATCCCCTGACTTTTCTTCTAGCACCACGATGAAGCCAGACTCCCAAGCTCGTCTCTGAACGCTTTGATCAATTGGTAGGCACTGAGATCTCCAGTTGTCTGGTATTGTGAGACTACAATGAAGTTGACATTTATGGTTTGAGTGAAATATTAGAAACATAAGTTCTGTGCAGCCATTAATGACTTACTCAGCATAATTGTACTAACTTTGTGGATTTAATCAGGTCAGATTTTCAATTTACACCATCCAAGTATTTGCAAAACTAGTGACATTACCATTAACCTCTACATGCTAAGCTAAGATGATGAACAAGGTTAACATTACTAAACATCAGCATGTTAACATTGTCGCTGTGAGCATTTTAGCATGCTGACAATAGCATTTAGCTCAAAGCACCACTGTACCTGGTACAGCTTCTGAGAGCTGCTAGCATGGTGGTAGACTTACCTGTGTTTCAAATAAGAAAATGACAGACAAAGGAAATGGACACGTTCCAATCCGGTTTTACCATCACAGGTACTTTCTTTATTATTACAAGTCAACCAACTGTATCAAAACTGCACAATCCTCAAAACCAGCATTCAGAAGCTCTTTTCTGTCTGCTCTCTCCACAATAACTGTATCACAACCAAATGCATTCAGTATTTTGAAAAAAATCTAAAGGCACATCTCTATTGTATTTACATTGCATACATGTTTGACATAAATCAAATAAAAAGAGCACAATCAGTCCTAAACACTTAGCCACAGTGGCTGTGCTAAAGAGACTAGACTAAAGCTAACCCTAAAATACATACAGCAATACACCAGTCAGTCAAGTCACAGTATTCAAAGCTACAACGCACAGGTGGGAATCAGTGTTTCTGTAACTTATGGCTTTATTTTTTATTAGGAGTTATCGCTTGCATGCCACCTTGTTATGGCTCATTTGTTATACTCGTCAAAGAGACTTCAGGTCTTTTAATCAGAAGGTCTTTGCTGACGACACCTCAGTATTTGTTAATCTAGTGACTCTTGCAGTAAATTAAGATTTTTAAAATAATAGTTTGAGATTTTTGTTAGCTTATTTGCATTCTTGCCGAGACTTAGACTAGAAGAATGATTCCCCTATCGTATCTGTACAGTAAATATGAATCTGTACAATAAAAAAATGCTTGAGACAGCGGCTAGTTTTAGCATAAAAACTGGAAACAGTGGGAAACTGGTAGCTCTCGCATTGTCCCAAGATTAAAATCTTTCATTCAGCCCCTCTAAAGCTCAGTAGTTAACATACTGTTTGTGTAATCTGTACAACCAATGTGCTACAACAATATGTTGTAGTTTTACAGAGGGTTGTGCAAGACCATTTTCTGGCCGGGTGCAGTGACTCCTGTGAAGTCACTGCTCACAGCCAAGAAATAGTCCCATGCATACAAAACCATTAAAAACTAACTTAAACTAACAAGATATAATGTGTTAAATAGTGAATTAGTTAGGGTTGCAACATTATGAGATTTTCATGGTATGATTCACAGTATACGATACCCAGTTATAAAAAAAAAAACATTAATACAGTAGAGTTCAATACGGTAGATAAGCAAATGTACACTTTATGATAACTGTATATTTCCATACCACTGTATACCATAGTATCTGCTACACTGCTGCAACCCTACTCAACTGGTAGATGGATTTTGTCACTTTTGGACACTGTCCCGTTTCCAGTCTTTATGCTAAGCTAAGCAAAACGGCTGTTGACTTTACCTCCATATTTAACCCACAGATTACAGTGGTATCAATCTTTTAATGTAACTCTCTGCAAGAAAGCGGCATACGTGTATTTTCCCAAAATGTCAAATGATTCCTATAAAAATGGAGACAAATCTGACAAATACCAAAAAAAAAACCAGTCCACTCGTCACAGCAACGACTCTGCTATCTATTCCTTAGTCCAAGGTCAGGTATTTACTCGCACTTGCAGTCTCTGTTTTCCCCAAAGCATCTTAAGTTGTAATATACGGCTGAATGTGAGCCAAAACTCCTCCCGCTGCTGATGGGTGATGTTTCTGATGGGCGGTTAGTGCTGGAGTCTGCTTTATATAGACGTGCACCTGAAATGCCTACCACAGAGATCAATACACCAATGGGGAGACTAGATAGAGGCCAATACTGAGAGCCCAGTGCAGGGTCATATATATACAGTATCTATGTGTGTGTGTGTGTGTGTGTGTGTGTGTAAGAAGGAGACAGGAAGGCCAGTGTTAGATTGAGTAAATGTGTTCTTAGTAGTTTGTAGTGTATTTGGCTCTTGTACTTGCGTTAATAGGAGAGAATGATCAGGGAGGTAGGGGGGTTGTATGTTTCATAGCAGTGTGTGTGTGTGTGTGTGTGTTTGTGAGTGTCAGACATAGTCCAGGAAGACGTCAGCCGTGCTTTGCAGTAAAGGCTGGGTGGGGGCTGTCGTGCTGCAGACTGAGCTCAGCCTCCGTGATGGCGCCCTCTGCTGCTCTGGATGATCTGGGTTGTTGCTCAGTCTCAGGTACACCTGAGGAACAACACATCTGTGGTTAAACTTTTGATCATACTGCTTTAAATAAATAGTATGATAGTGAAAAGAGAAATGTAACAAATATAGCCAAATCCTTTTCATCTTTTATTAACAATTTTTTTTATGTCTTTAGAGGTTTTAGCTGTTGTTGTAGTTAGTTGTTAGTTAGTTAGTTAGTTGAGAAGAAAGGATAGTCAAATTATGAAGTATTTCACTTCCATTATGTTGGGAGACTTGCAAGAGACGTATTAAAAGGAATTGGTCAATTCAACGCAGGAGAGACTGAGATATCTTGACTTTTAGTCTGTGGAAGTGGTTCCCTACCTGGGGGTCTGGACCTTCACAAGGGGCCCTGAGAGGAATCTAAGGGGTCACCAGAGGAGTACAAAAACACTTAAAAAACAAAACTATGTTTGATTTTCGATTGAATTTCTAATCATTTGCTTTTCCTTGTGACGTAAAGGTTTGCCTCTTCAGGCTTCTTTGAATTATTTAAATAACATAATCTGAGAAGAGCAAATAACTGAAAATAATTGAAATGGTCACGTTTACAATTCATAGATATGCAACATGTAATGTGGATCATAAGTAGACATAGCTTTGAATTAAGGGGTTTACAAACAAATTATTTTGGTGTGCTACTTTCTTAGTTCCCCCTTCAATGAAAAGTGTAATACAGGCTTTCAGTGGTGAATTTGTAATACCCAAACCCAGATAACTGAGATAGACGGGCCGTCACATGACAAGTAAACTGAACTTGAGCATAAGCATAACCTTCTTCCATTGTTTCCAGCTGGGGACATTTGTTGCACATATTACTCTCTTACTTCCTTTGTTTCCTGTCTGTATCTATACCGTCCTTTCTCTAATGAAAAGTTACAGAAATAAGAAGTAACATGTTTATCATTTCATGGTTCTACCTACTTACGTTCTTGGTATTCTCTGACAGCAGGAGCTCAGTCCTCTCCACCAGTTTCCTGAAGGAAGGCCTTTTCAAAGGATCATGGTTCCAACAAGATAACATCATGTCGTACCTACATAGGTGAAACTGGGATTAGTTTCAACATGGGAGAATGTGATAGCATATCTACTGTGTACAGATTTAATGATGTAGCCAGTACAAAACTAAACAAAGTGGGTAATACTAAAATCACAAATCACACTCACAACGTCTTTTTCATTACGTTAACCATATTGTACCACAGTATCTTTGTCTGTATAATTATAATCATCTTTTTGTGTCACATTGCACTAAAAGAAAAAATAATCAAAAAATAGATGTTTATTAATACCATAAATCATAGTGAATTTAACATAATAATAAAAAAGAAACACGTTGTAATTAGAGGTACAACAATTACTCAATTAATCCATTGCCAGAAAATTAATTGGCAACTATTTTGATAATCGATGATTTATTTAAGTTTGCTGGTTTCTTCACTGTGAGGATTTGCTGAATTTTTCTGATTCTTATATCCAATATTTTAGGATTTTAGACTGTTGGTCAAACAAAACATTTTAAAAAGTATGTTTTTATTTCATGATGTCACTTTGTCACATTTTTCAATATTTTTCTGACATTTTATAGACAAAATTGTTAATTGATTCACTGAAAAAAGAATCACCAGATTAGTTGATAATAAAAATAATCATACTATTATATTTAAATAACAACTCTCTCACTCTCACAGATATACACTTACATCTCAATAGGAGCAAACTCAGGCCTGCTCATCCTGTGGCCCTCTTGAATCATCCTATAAAATGCCGAACCCACCTGCATCCCCGGGTATGGGCTGTTACCTGCAACACAGACATACAATATACACAGGCTTTCAAAAATGATGTGTTACTTATTTCCAAAATCATGGATTTATATCAAGATGCTAGTTTCTGGAGCTACATGGTGTGTCACAATCAATACAATTTTGTATGGTTCACCCCACTTAGTGATATTGCCTCGTCATCAGAGTTGGCTCAAATACAGTAGATGAGTCTAATGGCTCAGACGATATGAAACAGATGCAACAGCACAGCTCTAACTGGAAATGTTACCCAGAGAGAAGATTTCCCAGAGCAGGATGCCGTAGGACCACACGTCACTCTCAAAGGTGTAGACACAGTCAAAAATACTCTCGGGGGACATCCACTTGACTGGCAGACGAGCCTGCAGAAGGGAGAGACACCATTACAAGAGCAGTATGGGCCTTGTCTCCTTGGTTTCACTCTTTAAAATAAATATCTCTTCTTTAAAAGATCAAAATTTTCTATGTAGAGTGTTGAAGAATAAAGCTTTTCCCCTTTTTCAGAGAGCAGGCATATTTTGTGAATACATTCTTCTAGAGCTGATTTAATGAGTCAGTTAATCGATCGATAAAAAACAGGAAAAACAGGAAGGAAAAAAGGAAGGAAGTAGGGAAGAAGGATCAGAGAGAATAAGACTCACATTGCCGCGGAGCACATAGCTGGCATCAGTTGTGATGTCTCGTGCCAACCCAAAGTCACAGATCTTTGCCACCCTGCCGTGAGTCAGCAGGATGTTTCTGGCTGCAAGATCCCTGTGGATACACTGCACGCACGCACGCACACACACACACAAGCAAACACAGAAATGAGTGCTGACACTGTAACTGGTTTCGGCAGTGAATGACTTTCACACAGCACACACACATACAAATGAGGCGAGGCGAGTTACACTTCAAACTGAAAAAGGTAAACTGAAAGAGATTTACATGAGATATTCATGCTATATATTTGGCATAGAAAATAAAAAAGAAACCAATTGCACTAAAAAAGAAACAAAAGAATAATAGTCAAAGGAATAAAAGGTTTGGTATTGTTTCTGGGAAATTACAGTCTAGACGTAAGTGGATAAATAGTGCCTAACTTAATAAAAGCAACAGAAGTGCAGTAAAAGCTAAATCAGTTAAGGCACAGGAAAACAAGAAGGTTTTAAGTTGAAGCTTATTTTAGAGCTGTCTTTTATCGGTGCACAGTATAGGATCTAATGTAAATTCAGCTTCACTATACTCTGATTGTATAGGTGATGTTAGCCGACAGCCAGGCACATTACGTTGGCCCTAAGCCAATGATGTGATTTATATACTAGCAGCAGCACTTTTAAATCTCTTTTGCAACTACTCTATAAATTCAGCACACAGTCTGTAAAGGCCTTACGTTCTTGGAAGTAATGTATTCCATTCCTTTGGCCACCTGGTAGGAAAAGCTGAGGAGATCTTCGGCGTCCAGAGACAGATCTTCTATGTCATCTAGATAAAGATTACATTGTCGGCTTTAGTGAATGAAACCAGGGGTTTAAGACAGGCTTTATGACAGTAGGTTTAGGTAAGGCACTCAGTTTGTTGCTGTAATGTATGTTAATAAATACCTACCTGACTGAGAAGCCCTCTCTTTCTCAGAGGGGCGCATGGGCATATATCCTGTACCAGTCACCTCTCCGCTGCAGTTACACACACACACACACACACACACACACAAACACGTCGCATTAAATGTTGACAACCATTTTGTAAATGCAATTCCAATTTAAAATCACACACATGCACACCTTGTAAGCTCCGGCTGGTTGGAGACGTTGCGATAGTAACCATCACCAACTTGGGAGTTTAGGAAGGGCTCTCTTTTTCTGCGCAGGAAGTTGAGGAGGTCTCCATAGCAACAGTACTCTGTGATCACCAAAATTGGGCCTGGCAAGATGCAGAGATGAAAAGAAACCTCGCTCAGTGGTTGTTAAACCATATGACAATGAAAATAACAATGAAAAAGAAACAGAACACTTGAATAATGAGCCAAAAGAAATTGGTATTTGCAATGCTGCCTCAGTCCTGCTGATAGGAATTTGGTTCACTTGACTATCACAAGGCAGGACACGTATAGTAAATTCAGACAATATATGTGTTATATCTTATATAGCTTATATCAATACTTTTGTGTTGAAACATATTGAACTTATCTTAAAATTATGATTTTTCATGCCCAACACATACAAGAAAATGTTAAGTGTTTAGTGTTTCCGTCCTAATAACATACTCATGCATACTTGTGTGGAATCCAATCTAAATGCTGCATCATAATCAATGTTGAGGGCTAGACAGGTAGATAATATTGACTGCCTGCAATGTAAATTTGTGACCAGTCAAACAGCATCACGTTTTCATATTAGAGCTGGGCTGTACTGACTGTCCAATATCTGATTTTTCATAAGAGGATAATATTGGCTGGGCATAGCAGCAAGTCAGCACATGAATATATGTGTGCACTTTCTACACACCTGCTCCAAACATTACTAATTACCATAAAACAAAATCATCTGGTAAACAAATGCAAGAGGGTTACAGTGTCCAGACACAAGAAAACGCAAACTAAATTTAGCCCAGACCCTTTAACATGAACATTTCCAAATGGATGAACTAAGTTTGGTGTCCGTGGTAAATCTGCTCCTCTCACCTCCGACAGTGCAGGCCCCCAGCAGGTTAACAATGTTCACGTGGTTTCCAAGGTAACTGAGAACCTTCAGCTCTGACATCAGCGCCTCCTTCTCCGTAGAATGAGCGTTGGCTGGGATGACATCATCAGCACATTTATAAACTCTTACAGTGCCTCATGTGTTGCTACAACATGTCCTAAATCACTACATATTTACTATATGGCGCACTATGTTTTGTTGGCCACTATTTTATTTGATTGTCCAAGTTGAGAATAACATTTATGCACAATATAATTTTCACAATGTAACACAAAAAGTAGTTGGTATGGCGTGTTCACTACTCTCTAAAAACAATCACACAAAAAATGCGATAGATCATATTTGATATAATTTGGACATGTGTGTCTCATTACTACAGAGTGCTGTCTTTTACTGAATTATCTTTGATTGATGGTACGCACAAGTTCTTTTATGGAGCATTATCTGTAAATAAATGCAGTTAGATTATCTTTTTTAACATAAAATGCAAGGGGGACTTGGTTGACCCCAGTGAAAATGACATGCTTAAAAAAGTTATGACTTTAAAGTGTCTGAAAATGTAATTTTAAAAAGTGTTTGGACAAAGCTACAGAGAAAAACAGACTAAAACACACACTTACGTTTGAGCATCTTAACAGCAACAGTCGTAACAGTATCTGCAGAGCAGAGTCCATATGCTGTGGCCCTCACTACCTTTCCAAAAGCCCCAGAGCCCAGGGTTTTACCTGTGGGAACACACACACACACACACACACAAACCGTTTTACAGTTAATTTAAGATCTCCAACAGACACGTTTCAGTACATTTAAAAACACTCTGCTTTGGATATCTGTCTCATATAGTTTCGTTTCATAAGTTTGCATATGTGTGCATATGAGTGTCAGGTTTCCATGTCACCATGATCAGTCTAGATCTGATATCAGGGATTCATGGTCATACATACACACCTTAACTTTTTTTTAAGGTGATCTTTCTGCACAGTGAAGGTCAAACATTCAAGAAGTCACAATAAACAAAACAGCATTATTACTTTAAGCAAAACAAACTTAGCCATACCGAAGCGTAGTTTCTGTCGAGAAAACTCCCATTTGGAGTCATATGGCAGCTGGGTGGGGTCAATATATATGTAGTTGTTGCCATGGATACTCTCAATCACCTTCCACTGGATTTGGAACTTTGGCTTCTAAAGTTTGGAGAGAAAAGAGGGAATTTATACAGAGAAAGTGATGTTCAATCAGCTTCCTGGTATTATTTATGTCTGACTACATGATTGTATAGCTCACGTTTTCTCATCACTCTCATATTCAGGTTTCAGATCACTGGATGCACTTTAGTTGTCAGCCTGTGTCTAGACTATCCCCTGATGATCCCACTGTGAATTAACAAACTAGTTCTAAAGGAGTCTGACTCATCCGAGCGCAATAAGAGGAGCACGCTGTGGGGGTACATTAATGGCTCGAGGAATGATCAGAGTGTCAAAAAAGCCTTTAACTACAGCATGTCTGCACTTTGAATGGCTGATTGATTCCTTTCAAATTCATTAGGACACATTCATATTGATTAAAATGACTTTCTTCCACTCTTTTCTGCTGAATATCGTTACCAAATGCAGCAAAAAATATACTAGTCTGATCTCAGAAAGATGCTTCTAACTTTAACTATTAACATGGAGGCATGAGTCATTGCTAAATGAGAGTGGGCCTTTTGCCAGAAACTATTGCAACCATTTATTTTCTTGGGATACAAACTGCATATCAATGGTGGTAGATGCACTTGATTTAACATTGATGTCTAAGAATATTTAAACATATTTTTAAACTAATTCATGGGACTGATGGCCATAGATTTATGTGATTTATGAGAGATTCATGACCCTACTTTCACTCAGATATTAATAATATTTCTTCATTGCAGTAATGGCATTGCAATGTATGATTTATCTTACCTGCATGTATTTATAGATCAGCACCACTAGAATGAGGCTGAGGAACACGCCAGTGGCCACCATACCAGTTAGAAGAGGAGTGAAGAGTTTATGGGGGACGACGCGTTCTGAGAGCAAACACACACCAGAGTAATCAGAAATGACATGAATCACATTGAAGTATACACATTTTACACACACACACACACACACACACACATTCCCTCTTCCTCTGACGTTAGGACAGACAGCTGCAGCAGTGGTTTGTTTGTGTGATAAGGATTAGCAAGTCTATACCATATAATCCCAGCCTGCATAGTCAGCATTCACTAATCTTATTCAATCTGCACCCAGTAACCACACACCTGGCCTCAGCATACACAGGGGTCAAGGGTTTTGTGTGTTTGTGTGTCTCTACTATGTTTGTGTACTAATACAGCGACTCTGTGGTATATAGTTGCGAGTTGCGTTGTGACATACCGCTGATGGAGAACAGTGTGTAGGCCTCTTCCCCCTCTGTGCTCGCCACACACTCCAGGGTGTGATAGTGCGCGTGCTCCTTGTTGCTCACATTCAGTCGGCTCTCCACCTCACTCCTACCGAAGGTCGACTCTGTCACCATGGCGACCTCCGGTGTCTCCCACTGGGTGGCATTGGGCAGGTGTGAGCACCTGTTGAGGGGTTATAAAGTTGCTTGAGATCCCACTTTCTTCTTTCAGTTCTACATCAGAGCAAGATTTAGCATTTATATTTTAATTAAAGTTGAAAATTACAGTAGGAAATGGGGTCAGTGGACTCCCAGCACGTTATGTTTACTTTCCTTCACCTGTAGCAACTAATAATATTGCGAAGGTTTGGCAAAGGTTCACCATGTTTTCTCTTACATTTTTCTCACTTTGTTGGTGAAATTCAGCTTTTTTCTTCCCCCATCTTCTCTATCACTTCTATTTTCCCACAATGTCAAAGTTGCTTTCTTTCGCACATTCTGGCATCACCATATCTGCCCGATGGTCTTTCTACCTGTTACTTAAGTCCTTGGATGCAGATCCTCAGATATTATTGCAATACTTTCATTCAGTCTCTAGACTCTGGGGGGACCATTTCTCTGTTGCTAACCTCTTTACATACTGTTACACACTTCGGGTTGATCACTCTTTATTGAAACCGGAATTGCCGTAGTGGCAATAATTTTATATGTTATCTTGAAATCACAAGCTAATTATCTCAGGATAACAACGTTGCTTCTCTTATAAAATAAATTATAATATCTTTATCTTTAACAATATTCCTCTTGTTATCTCAAGAAATCATCTACTTGTTTTACCAGGATAACAAAATGTTTTAAAATGCCCATGTTGTGTTGTCCACCAGTCAGAACCTAGTTGGCCTATTTGTCTGAATGCAAATGAGACAATGAGATGACATAAACCTGTTAACCAACTTGTTCATCTCACATGAGCAGCTCCTGCTCTCAGAGGAACTGCCAGACAAAACAACAGATGAATCATGTTTCGCGAGTAAAATGATCTGAAGTCACACTGCTGTTCAGTTGCAGCTTCTACTATGAGCAGCACCAAGCAGTCCCAAGTTGTTAATTATGTATTGATAGCAAAACAGAAAATAATTTCTTCTTTATATATCTTATATTATTGTTTAAATTACAAAATTGACATGAATATAAACCGTAAAAGAAAACAGTGAGAAGCAGCCAATCTGAACTGAGGTGGTCATCACTGGTAGATATCATCATTGTGATCATTCATGATGTCATGCAATGATGTATCATAGTAACTGCTTTTTTAACCCATATATATAGACAGCTCTTACATCATCACTTGCTACAACTCTTGCTACTTTCAGCAGATCACATCTTGTGTGTGAATAATGACAGACACCCATCAGTCTCTCCATTAATAAAAAACAGCCAGTGCTGCTGGTGGAACTGAGAGCTAAAACATTAAAGATGTTGAAAGTTCACATCCAGCTTGTGTTAATACAGTAGTATCGTCATCTATCCAGTCTTATTCCAACTTGAGCAATGTAATGAAGTAAATACAGTAAAATATACACTCTTTTGATGAAAGTAGTACAATATATTTTAGACAAACCTTGTGTGGGGCAGCTTACAGAAGTACCAGCTGATTTTAGGCACTGGGTAACCAGCAGCAATGCACCGCACCTGACCATCAACAGGCCCTTCCTGGGCGATGATAACCGGCTTGCCTGGAAGGGAGCAAGTTGAGGGTAAATAGGGAAGACAAATATTTAACATTCTACAGTATGTGTATGTTAAATATCTTCAAAATCTGTTTATTTTCATGTTAAAGTCAACCTCCAGTTAGAAATATGTGTTTCTTCATACAGTTGGATGTTTGATCTTCACTGTGCAGAATGATGTCTGTGCAGAGTTTGACACTAGAAGGAAGTTTTCACATTCATCAGCTGGAAGTGGAAAGTTTCTCTGAGCTCATTGAAAATCTGATTTTAAGGGGCGGGGCCTACGAGCATGATTTGTGACATCACAAACAGTTTGTGAGTCAATCCTGGTCCATTATACAGCTTATATAAGTGTGATGTAGAAACATGAAGCCACCAGTGCACAAACACTGAGAATGGACTTTACAGTGAGAGTATTATTTGCATATATGTGGTAATTCATGTCGGGAGGATCTTTAACAATCACCTGGACAACTCTGGAATAATGGGCCTCATGCAAGAACATTTTTGTATTCTTATCTTAACTTTCTCTTACATTTATTTGTATGGTGTGCTTGTGCAAGTGGACCACTCGTAAACTGTGTTCGTGCCGAAGAGAAAATTCAAAATAAGAGAAATTTGATGAATGTCGCAAGTTCACTTGTACAAGCCATTTAGGAACGAATTTGAACATTTGTAGGTTCTTGCATAAGACCCATTGTTTTCTAAATATATAAAGCAATGAAACAACTGTGAGAGCTACTTACTGTTGACGTACACATGAAACGAATGATCGACAGATGCATCTTCATGACTGGCTGAGAACTTATAGATCCCGCCTTCCGAGCCGAGAACCCTCACTAGTCTGAGCTCGCTGATGTATCTAATGAAACACAGGGTACATTTTAAAGTCTGTGTGTGTACATGCATATGCACTTGCAGCATATACTGTATACTCACTGTACCTGTATTTGCGGCGGTGGATAGTGATAACGTGCTCTGTGGTGTTGAGGAGCTGTTTGCCATTGAAAGACCAGGACAGGGAGCTGGGTGCAGGATAGGCAACAAATTCTACTCTGACGCTCAGGCTGTCCCCCTCTTTAACATCAGCCTGGACTGGACCTGGGCTTCCTAACATGGTAATGAAGCCCCGCTCTAAAGAACAACAGAAATATGCGTAGTTAAAGGAACGGAGACGTCTACGTATTAATTTGCATAATATATAATTGAGAGATCCTAAAAAAAAAAGTCCTGAAAAAGGTTGTAGTTTTAGAAGTAAATATTGTGAAGGAGGGTTGGTGGTCCTATCTCCTGACACACCATCATCAGCACTTACCACGAATATCCAGCAGTAGCGCTGTGGCACCGGTGCCTCTCTCGTTGAGGGCGTAGCAGCGGTAAGAGCCCGAGTCTGTTTGGTTGACGGCTGTGATCAGGAGTGAGGTGGAACGCCGATAACCACGGGAACCAGACAGGATGTGTGAGGTGTGGGATTGATCAGGATGCTGTAGGGCATCAGGGGCAAATGGGCATATTTATTCATTTAACTCATCAATTATATTTTTCTATTAAATGTATCTCCTAAAATGCTGTTTCAAAGACTTCCCTGCACTGTCAGTCATATTATTATTTGCTGTTTAATTTTTACTGTAAGAAAATATCAGAATCAGTCTTACAAACTCCAACATGTATACTATGTGTGTAATGGTGAAATGTAAACTCTTCTTCAGGTCATTATACCCCCCAAATTCCCAGAAATATCACTAAGGATATGTGCTCTAAGGATATGATGCTCAGTGTCCTCTATGACCCCAGGGGCTACATGGAGAGATTGTAGAGTAGCTCAACAAATAAGAAAAAATATTTAAATATTTAATTAACGATTTGATTAAAAAAATAAATCCCCTATGAGTCAGCTATAACAATGGGTGTTATTGCAGATAAGAGTGCATAAAAACTATAGTTAGCAAGTGAGCAGAGAGGATCAAACAATTAGCTAAAGGTAATAGATAAATAATTTAAATAATTAGTGGATTAATGGATATATAGTTGCTCAGCTTTTGCCACTCCATATTATTAATTCAGCAAATGAATTCAAATGTTCTAATTGGGAACATAAATGGTGGTATTGATGAAGGGGTATTTGAGTTCATCGCACTGTGCTGTGGGGGTACGTCTTACAAAAAAGGTTGGGAAGCACTACACTACGTCGCTAAAAAAAGCGAAAGTCTAAATACATTAAATATTTATTCTCGCATTGGTAAGGGTACATCTACTGTCCTTCCAGTCAATGTCAATCTCACCGCTGTTGAAGGGAAATCCCACTTGAGACTGAAGTCTGGGTTGACGTTGGAGGAGCTGCAGGTAATCTCAAACTGCTCTCCTTTCCTCAGGATAACAGTGTCTTTCTGAGACAACGAGACCACCGGAGGCACCTCTGGCACTGGATCAAGAGATGCAAAAGTTAATTTACACAAGCACAAAAAACTTTCTATTTATTCTCATGGCATTTCCTCCTAAATAAGAGCCACAAAGACACTTGAGTCACTTAGGTCAGAACCTTTGCACTGCTCACTATTGGTTGCAGGTTATTTATAATGTGAAATCATTCACTCTGGACTTGAGTGTGTGCTAAATGTCTAAATCATGAATCTATATGCATGTTAACAACAGTGTTCCTCCTGGAAATATTTTGACACTAAAATGAAAACATGACAAATAAGTATCTTAACTGTGTACGATCATAAAAGACCTTTCAGGGTGTGTTAAATGCTGTTTGTTCAGTTGCGGGAAATTCTTGACAAGCACAAACTAACGGCTATGCTCACAGGCACAGTATTTGCATATGCAGACACGTATAAATCAAATGATTAATTCCCAACATTAAACGCATGATGCTGACGCGCCTTCAGTGACTGTGTTTGACAAGACTGCAGTAATTCTATTTACCCAAACATTGCCTTCATGCACCGTTACAAAGCTTTGTTCAGTGTGGGACTCTAATCCTTCTGCTCCTCCCTCCCTCACATCTCCTTTCTCACTCCCTCTCTCCATCAGTCTAAAGGACACAACGCCCCAGCAGCTCCTCCCAGCTTGTCTTTGTTTAGACTCCTTTCTACTGAAAATGCTGATGCACGGACAAACAGAAACATGATCAGTTTCCACTGACGTACCCTTAAAATGCTTTTTGGTACATTTCCTATTAGCTCATGAGAAAAATAATGAGCTAAACTTATTTTGCCAAAACACATCTGCATTCTGGACAGTCTAAGGAGGTTTATTGCTAAGTTCATTGCTGTGACTGACCTCTGCCACGATGCATTATGGTCTTTCTCGATACAGGATTAATAACATTGCTAGCAACTCTAGGAATGGCAATGTTGGTCTGTCTACCACCTTGGTCCATCCTGAAGTATCTCAACAAGTATTTGATGGATTGCTGTACAGACATAATGATCCCAAGAGGATGAATCCTACTGACTTTGGTGATCAATCTTAATCTGTACAA